GAATGGCAAAACACAGTCAGGAACAGTCGATTCATCGTCTGCTTTCGAATCTAGCACGTGTGCAACTGTTCATTTCAATTGACTTGACTGATGGTTAAACTGATTCTTCGGCTTCGCTTTGAAGGATAAAAGTTTGATCTAAGGTGGTTGGGTTCCCGAATGGGCGTGCTACTTGGTCTGTTCGCCGAGGTTGGTAGTTGGATCTCAAACGTTTCATCATCGATTGGGGTGCCCTCGTGCATACAGAGTACCTTCGTCGAACGAAGCGTCAAGCGCCGGAATGTGAATGTCGCACCCGACAAACCAAACGGCATCCGTCCAAATTGATACTGATTGCCCCCATCAATGAACGATTTTCCTCCCTATCCTCTGGCTTGATAGGCAGTTGCCTCGAATACCATGAAATATCGGGAATGCTGGAGGGAATCAAAAATCTCCGCAACCGTGGGGACAGCTACAACCCGATTCCCGGTCAGTTCGTCCAAACGCCGGAAATCCACGCAGAACCGGTGATTTCCGTTCGTTTTTCTTACAAGCACAACCGAGGAGTTGTACGCACTTTGATTTCTTCGATTATGCCATTGGACTTGTCTATGAACTTCATCCCATAGATGTATTGGCAGTGGACGGAGGCCGTATGGTCGAACTCATGCTGCACGGACATGTCACCCAGACGCATTGGGTGCATTGACAATCCGTCAATCTTCAGTCGGTATTTACCCACTGCGCTGACGGCTAAGGCACACGGCTCGCGATCATATTCGCTCACTCTAACCTCGGCGACACCCTTCTCCTGTATCATTCAGGCACAGCTCCCTCTTCCATCTATCTCGATGACGGCCTGTATCGTAACGTGCATCACGACACTGGTCGCAAGGCATCCGGGAAAAGAGGAGTAATCCAAAGTTATACTCCGCATAGGTGGTCGGGTATGGTTATGTTGACTCATCCAATGGCCGCGCATGCCACATTTGTAGCATTTGCTCAATCAAGCGCGGCTGTACGATTCTGTACTGATGTCTGAAAACGGTCCGCCTTGCTGGTCCACTCTAGTCTACAGGTCATCTGCTGGTGAATCATCCCTCTTCTCCTGTGACTGTAACCAGGCCAGTCGCGCCTCGGCCAATTTCCGTGCCAGATGCACCAGCCCATTCACATTCAACCTGTCAATAGTTCTCACCAACCGCAGCTGGGCAACAAGCGTCGGCTGCACACCTTCGACCAAATGGTCAGACAGCAACTAGTGGCGAGACACTGCATCCAGTCCCGGTGAGGCCCGTTGGTTACCATCCCCTCAACGTTTATCTTTGACCACTTTACCAGAGTTTGGTTACCACCCCATCAACGTTTATCCTCAACCGCTTTCACAGTCCGATTACTATCTCATTAATGTTTATCTTCATCCACTCATATAATCTGTTCAACGCATGCACACCCGCTGTTTCATTCCTGTGCGCATTATGACGAACATGCGCCCCACGACTAACCAAGAGTGTTGGAATCTTATCCTAAGACAAACAATGCAAGCGCATCCTCACTCACAACATAAACATATATATATATATATATATATATATATATATATATATATATGCGGAACAACGATCCCACAGCCCGACGCTCGTCAGTTCACACAGCGCCTTGACCAGACCATTTCAAGCCGACGCACGACTCACTGTGCAGGAAAAGTCTGGGCTCGAAATCGTTTTGGATTAAACGACAAAGAACAGGCCAGATTTCAACACACTCGGTCAAGACCCCATTCAATTCAACGGCGTCCCACAAACATTGGCCGCATCGGCTACAACTTATCAAACGAAGAACTCGATAAGTCTCATACTTCTTTTGTCCATTATTCAGTTGTAATTTGTGTCTCTGGTAGCCACTATACATAACTGTTTACTGTTAGTGCTATTTCACCTTCTGATATTACTTCGAGTAAAAAAGACAATAGCACCTACAGGCCCAATTCAACGACTGCTGCAGACCGGCGAAGAACACAGTTGGGTCACATCCATGTCCCATTCTGGCCGAATTGAACCACCTCATGGCCTCCTGGCGGTCAGCCAGTGTGTAAAACTCCACTGCAAGGTAATCGTTCTTGGCCGCCCAGTCCATATTCCTAGGGTCTCTTCTGGCCGAATCCAAGGCTCAACCCCCGATAAGGGTTCTTCAATGCCACCAACTTACGCCGGTCGGTGTCCAGTCCTTCTGACCCAACAACATCCTCGAAATTCTCCGGGAAAGTTCACAAATTCCCACCCTCAAAAGGCTGTGGTCATGGGATCTTCATCCGTACCCTCTCGACGGCACCAACTGAAGGGAGGAAGAAGGCTTTTCACCGCAAAGCCGTTTATTAGCAAACACCAAATAATCAGTTGCAAACTATTTGACAGGAAAGTAAACGTCTCATATGCACATAGTTTAAAACACTGAACACTCACGCACCCTTTTTACCCTTCGTGGATATTCACTGTCTATAAGACAATCGTAAACAAACGCTGTGGAGCAGTTTTACAAGTTCCTTACTAACGCTCGCCTTTCAGTAAACGCGGCGCGGAGCTTCGGGAAATCCACAGATTTTCCGCACGCCTCATCTGTAGTAACCGCCGTCCCACTATCAGGGAGTTTTATCTCGGTGGGAAATTCCGTTCTGTGGATGTGTCGCCAGCGAAATCATATTTCGGTTAGTTAATTCCAGGTACTGCCGATTAATTGTATCTCTTCAACATCGGATCACTGCGCTGCTAGTTTTTTTCAATGTGCAATCAAGTCTCGTTTTATCGGATAGACCATCAGTCAGCAGACAACATGCGTTGCAATTGGGGACGACTGATCAGGATTAACGACAGATCTGTCATTCAGTTTGGTTTAAATGTAGCTCAGCTGCAGTCCGTTCCAACGACACCATTGCATATGGATTCGCAAAACTGTCGCTGGATAGAACACTTTAGACCCCAACTTCGCACTAAATCTAGAATCAACTTTCTATGAATGAACAGGGAGTACAATCTCCACTGTAACACTAACGTTCACCATGTAGATACCTTTGGACTGTTCTATAGAACACCTACACAACCTGCTAACTAATAGTGCGTGCCAACCGGGAGCCGGCTGGCTGCAACTGGACGAGTTGATGATCGTGCTCTCCGTATTTCGTGAAGCATCTCCATTGGATTGGTGTACCTTGATACTAATCCCGAAGCACAGAAAATGTAGTGGCTTGTGAGAACTACCTGCGTCCGTTACAATCGACCATATTACTGCCACGCGAATGAGTCATTTAGATGTCAGGGAAACCTCTGTCCAGAAAGAGGTTGTATTTTGGGACACTGGTACAACATTCGCTATACAGATACCGCCTTCCTCATCAGCCTCGCGAGGCGTCAGATTCAGTCAAAACTTGAAAACAATAGGAAAGCGTTGGTTCTCACCAGAACCAATCGGCTTTTCAAGCACGAAATCCTTTATAAAGTTTGTGGAAGGGAAAATCAGGCGTTCGTTTTGATTCAGGTATCCAACAGTTTACTCGCTATCCCATAAGCAATGTAATTTTCTGATCGACTGGAAAGGGGCGCGTACCCTCAGTAGTTGACCGAGAGTAGGGTTAAGACTTGCTGTGCATGTTGCCGATATTGATTACTATGGCTGTGCAAATTTAGATAGCAGTCAATTAGTCCCACAGAAGTCGATTTAAACGGAAATTCTGTTCTTCGGGAATTAGGCCTTGAAATTACTTGTGATTCACTCACTATGAAATACTTTGGGACATCTTCATAATACTTCACGGATTATCTCACGATATCTTGATGTTATTTTGTGACCTAATACGCAGTTAACAATGTCCATGAAAACTTGGTTAGATTTGGGAGAAATTTGCCAAAATTAGCCACATAAACGAGCATTTCTCCGAACCATTATTTCAGAGCAGTCACCACTGTTGTCGACTTGACTACAGACTGCTTACGGTATTTGGGCAGCTGAATGGTGAAGTCAATTTTAGTAGGGGTTTGTTGGGAAAACCCATCGAAAACATCATGCCAAATCTTCTGGTGCTTCCATTTCAACGATGTGTCACTGGTATTCGAGCCAAAAATGGCCAAACGAATGTTCCGTTGTACATAGCAAGCATTCGCAGACGGTTTATGCCAAACTGACCAGATTTGTCGAGACCCCGAGTAGGAATTCAATGATCACGTGGTAATCGTTCAGCTTTCGCTCAGTTGCGCGTCTCATCATAGGGAGCCTCAAGCCAGTGCTGACTTGGTAGTAACCAAATTTTCAGCGTGGTGTAATCGTACTTGTGGTAGTGGCATTCGAAAGCTTACCTGTTTAAAGGAATTGATCAGCTCAAAGGCACAGTAGCATGCTCAGCCCATTCGGGAACCCAATTACCTTAGATCAAGCATTTATCCTCCACAACGGAGGTGAAAATTCAGTCTAACCATCAGTCAATTGAAGCGAAACAAACGGTTGCATACGAGCTAGTTTTGAAGCAGACGATGAATTGACTGTTCCTGACTGTGATTTGTCATTGTTCGCCGGTACCATGTCGTGCGTTCGGTGACGTGTTTAACATGATCAATAGTTTCCAGCTCCTAAGCGGGAGGATGGAATCCAACGAACCCTATTCGCGTGATCTTTCTCACAGCATCCATTATGGTTGTGGAATTCCGTGAAACGACCCTGAAAGGAAGGTTGAGGGGCTTCGTAGATGTTCATGATCAATACTTTCGATGCACTTTGACACAAACACTTGAGATACGTTCAAACAAGCCAGCGGGAGCGTTTCACCAGCGTCCTAACCTACATTTTGATTGAAACCGTGATATTGTTGACTGACATTCTACTGAATTTCAATGAGGTTCGTTGTGAAGGATGGAGCCTACCAGTTGATGTACCTTCCCAATATGTGTGGTATCATCCACCGCCACTCATACGAGCGAAACTCCAAGCGCGTTTATGTCTCTTTTTGTCAGGCTGATGATTACACAGAGAATTCTTCATTTCAACAGCAAATTTCAGCTCATGCCATGCCAAAAAGTCACATGAATCAACCTTGAAAACCAGCTTAGAACATGTGGTGCGCAACTACCACAAGATGGAAGCAGATGGTCGGGTAAATTAAACATACTCACGATTTTTTTTCGAAGCAGTGCAGTGGATTTACGTTGTTCTTGGCGAATCATAGACCGGTCACTCTTGATATCAATGTGTCGCCCAAAAGACTGCGACCGCTAATTCTATTGTGCTGAGCGTCGCATTATCCAACATAAAAACCCAAGTTTGATGCGCATTTAATGCACCAGGTAGCTCTCAGGACGAAAGGCAATGTGGAAAAGGCCTTGAGTCTACCGACACGGTTCAGTGCAAGTGTATGCATGGTACAACATCCTGAAAACCCCAGTCAGCCATTCATTCCGTGGTACTTTGTAACTTGTGGCTTCTTTTCACGTTATAGTTCAGCTCTACGAACTAGAAATTGTAGAGCAAACTGGAGTCCCCAATCTGGTTTGAATGCCCAATGAACTGTCACACAGGACATACATGAAGCAGAAGTGGAGAAAAGTAATTCTGTTTTCATTCATCCACGCATTCAAGGGTGGGCATTTCATAACCAGAATGTGACTTGCATCGTTCTACCACCCAACTCGAAATTTCACGTGCAGTTTTTTGTCTCATGGAAACAATGCAGTCGAAGTTAAGCTGTCCAGATTTTAACAGATCTATGACATTCCTCACAAGCCGCTGAAAGCTGTGCATTTAAGTGTTTAAGTGTTGCTTGCCTAGAAGATGGAGCAGTCAGGCATCCTGTCCATAGATTGAAGCTGGTTTTGCTCGCAATCCATCCGCCATCGGCACTTAAGATTTGTAAAACGGGATGCGTGCAAACTTGGTTCATTCTATTTGGGCATGCGAACATGGACCTATCCAAATCACCATGTGACTTCGTAAGAACAGTTTCAATGATGGGACGTCACAATTTTGCCTTTGACCACCTGGAGGAGTTGGGAGCAATCAGATGTTTTACTCTAGCTCCGAATTTAATTTCCATTTGTTCAAAATCACCAATCAAATCAGCATTTGGACGACTGTTTGGGAGAGAACAGCCTGTAGGTACAATGATGAGGGGCATAATAAAGTCTCAAAGTCCTTTGTCTGAACTGAGGCAAACAAAACGACTGCGTTTTCTGACGTGTGGACACAGTAAACCGACAACGATTCCGCTGTGCTATGCTCTGCTCGAGCATCGATCCGTGTACTACTAACCAGCTGGGTCTGCAAAATGTCCGTAATTTGGTGAGGACTGAAATGTTGAGATAACTGAGCGTCCTTCAGTTCAGAGACAATTTAGATATGCAGGCCGGAAATCGGTTTGGGACTTTGGAGTAAATTCCGAATTTGAGGGGTATTGGAAATTCCGAAACGCACTGTCGTGAAGGTCAGCTGACGCAGTGAATGTTGACCACAAGTCTGTATTGAAACGATGGTGCCTAATATTGGGGTGTGTTCGTGGCTTGGGCTGGCACAGTGACGTCCCGTCCAATGTGTACGCACTCGACTGTGTCAGCCGCATTGGGTGCGAGGTGCACTCACTGCACTTAATGTGAAATCACAATGAAGGTCACATACGGACATTCCTACTTGACAGTTGCACAAATACGACTTGACCTGAGGTGGGTCAAAGTGATGCACCTGGCCTCCGCGGTAGGTGCTAGCACCATAAACGAAACGGATGGAGAATATTAGGTGTGATTTCACAGATCTGACCATGCGAACTGACTGAAAAATGTGACTAAGCAGAGTTGAGCCACTATCTCATACTACCTTATACATGCATACATACATACATACATACATACATACAAACATACATACATACATACATACATACAAACATACATACATACATACATACATACAAACATACATACATACATACATACATACAAACATACATACATACATACATACATACAAACATACATACATACATACATACATACAAACATACATACATACATACATACATACAAACATACATACATACATACATACATACAAACATACATACATACATACATACATACAAACATACATACATACATACATACATACAAACATACATACATACATACATACATACAAACATACATACATACATACATACATACAAACATACATACATACATACATACATACAAACATACATACATACATACATACATACAAACATACATACATACATACATACATACAAACATACATACATACATACATACATACAAACATACATACATACATACATACATACAAACATACATACATACATACATACATACAAACATACATACATACATACATACATACAAACATACATACATACATACATACATACAAACATACATACATACATACATACATACAAACATACATACATACATACATACATACAAACATACATACATACATACATACATACAAACATACATACATACATACATACATACAAACATACATACATACATACATACATACAAACATACATACATACATACATACATACAAACATACATACATACATACATACATACAAACATACATACATACATACAGCTTTCTCTCGTTCTGGCCCTCTCCTTGTCTCAACCTAGTGTTTCTGCGTCCACCTCATGAATTTCATAGACACGTGCAATCATCCAACATCTCGAAGAAAATAATAGGTGGCTATTTCTTGGAAATTTCGTAATCCATCGAGCAGTCTAACTCACCATATCGAATTCCCCGTAATTGCCTGACGTCGAAAGTGGCTTCTTTGCTAGTTAAGCCCATCAACGCAAGAGGATTCTCGACAACGATTGCGGCGTTGCAGGCAGTGCAGTGGTACAAATCAGCCAGTCTAGGTTTTCCTCACGATCACTAGTCACATTCAGGCAAGTCTAACGCTGAACTCACGCACTGCAAGCAGTTCCGCTCCATACATTCCCAGTCCATGGGATACCGCACATCCCCACGGATTCCTATGAAACTACTCACAAGGCCCTCCGATGTGGAAACCGAATGTGATCCCCAATTGGGATGATACGGTGAGTTGTATGTACTGAATTCCACGGCGGTTTTTTATAGGCACTTCCCATATACGTGGATTCTTGTGACACGTAAACCTCTTCATGTTGGATTGAAGCGGCTGATGAATCTGGGAGTGGGTTGAGTTCTTGCCACGACTCCATTGCTTCGTCTTTAGGTTCACTAAATATCACATTCCATTCGGAAATCTTTATTTGCAGCCTGAAGGAGGTGATTGCCGAACGATCATACGAATGTTTATACTACATGCATTTGAAATTGTCCTTTCAATAGATGAGGGCTGTTCAACATGAAGAACAACTCCATTGAACTGTTTCAACTCACTGGGGCGAGTTTATTCCACGCGTAGACCGAAACTCACCATTCATCTGTTCGAAAAACGTGTGATATTTTGAGTCATGATTCTCCAGATCGTTTCAGATGGTGAACCTGTTTCGGCCGAACTTAGCCTCATCTCGGCTGCCGCTTATGATACTGTGAACTACAAGCGTGATGCACCGACCGTTGTCCTACTGAAGACAAAATCTGTCCCATGAGTGTCCCTGACTGTAAATGATCTATCAATCAAAATATCTCGTTTCTGACTATCCAGAAGGTATATTCATGCTTCCTTAGATATGGTGAAGTACCATAGAATTATCACTTTTTTCAAGTGATGAGCAAGAAACTTGAAGTTCTGGCTGGACCCTAGGTTCCTCACTGAATAACATGCCGTTACGTGGGATCCACATACCTGAGATGGACTCAGAATTGAGTGATGATCACAACTGCGTGCTCATTTGAACTGCTCTGATCATGCATTTTGTTTGTATTGTGTCAGTTTTGTAACATCGCATAGAACCATCAGGCGTTTGGTGAAAAAATCCACCGCTGAATGACACCATGCCTAAGCGTACTTGACTGATCTCGGAGGTATTGAATTTTCCAAAACCAGTGAAGTGCGTGAAACACCAAAACGACTGATGCCATTTCAGCCTCCCTGAGTTATTCCCCCTCAAGCTGCTGACATACGTATTCATCTTGAGGTGTTATTAACATACGTAAAATTGATTGCATCACCGCGTCATTCGGGCGCTTTTAGTCGTCCACCGTTGGACGCCGCGTGTAGTCTCGCATTCGATGTCCATGCTCCTCTCCAATAATGACAGAGGCTGAAGGTTAGTATGAAAGTTGTGGAACCTCTTTCCAGTGTAGCCTGTTGGCTCCTTTATATTCGAAGAACATCCAGAAAATTGCAACAGGACGCTTGACACAAATGAAGTCATGCGCGGTTTCTTGACAATGTTCTACACATCGGTTCTCGTACAGCGTACTCCTTCACCTGATGTGCGTGTCTTGAGTGTGTTAGGGCTTCCTGT